TGCTATTGCTCCTCTGCCACTATTGGTGTTATTGCCCCTCTGCTACCATTGGTGATATAGGTCTTTGTTACCATTGGTGCAATAAAATAAATAAATTGTATTTGGTCTATTATAAGTACAAAGATGAAAATGCCAAATCCTATTATTTTCAGTGCTGGATGTATAATTACAAGCAATCGATTTACACATTTATAGTGTTCATTGTGCTGAGAGAAGGCAGTGTTAAGACTAAGTTTTATTCAATCGGCCTGTTCATTGCTGAGAAATTGTAGATGATCACATTTCCAGTATCATCATCAATGACAGTGGAGCCAAAAAGATGATAACTGTTTAACTGTAATAAATATTACCTGAATGACTGTTCCCTCCACATTGATAGTGTTTGCATCAGATAGGTTATTAGGAATCAATCCATGGGGTTCTAACACTGCAGACACCACTGGAGAATCCATTAAACCAGATGTGGACAAGTTTAATGGTCTGGGTAATCCTGATGCCGTAATTGTTGTATCACCCAATAGATTGGATGACTCATTCTCACATTCCATTAGCAAGGCTGAAACATTGAGAACAGAAACATCTATCTAATTAATCTTTATATCCCCTTTGCTCCTATTAGCAATGCATGCGTCTACGTAATTGACATAGATATGTCAATGGTCAAAATAAGTCATATTTTAAATTACCGAGGGGGGGGGGGGGGGGGGTATCTATTATACAATACACATAACTGTTTAACATGCACTATTATTGGAGATGTGATTCTTCTAATAGAGTAAATACTATTGCAACCCCCTAGTACTAGTACTATCAAAAGCTAAATTGAAGATCACAAGCAACTTTCAACCTGTGGCTAACATACTTTTAACACAGACATTTTCTATGGAAATCACACAGTTTGGCGTTACATACTGCCAAACTTTTTTCTAGGTTTATATATGGTCTGATAACTGCAAATGGTAACAATGATTCATATAGACAAGTTCATGTGAGTATTTTCGGAATTATTGATCAGTCCCTCAAAAAGAAAATTTTTGAAATTAAAAAGGAAATCCCTATTAAAAAGGATATCAGGAATTCAAGTATCATTAACAAGCAGAATTGTGCACAGTGTTCATGTGAAATAGAACACCGGGATGTCAACATTATTAGCACAACAATATATTTGTATTTGGTGTTATTTCAGCAATACTTTACTTTCAACACTTCAATGTTTTTCAATTTTTCAGAATGCGGAAATATGCATGTGACAGATATATAATTTCAGGATGTTTTCTCTTAGGTTGACGTCAGCAAGCATGAGTGCTTACCGCCAGAGTAGCATCAATTCTTGCCTGCTCTAAAATTCATGTCTGTTGACATCAATCCACAAGAAAATATTATGGGATTATATATAAATATTTACGTTTGCTATGGGTAATTTGATGAGTCAAACAAAATTGAAAAAAAAAAAAAAACAGATCATAAGTACCGGTAAAACAGCATTAGACTGTCATGTAATATCCTCTACATCATTCACAGTTCCATTGATTTAAATGTTACATGGGAAAAATAACTATCAGTGTTTGAGGCCTAAAACTTTGCAGTAGCGCCAAACAAGTCTCAGAATATATTGGCCTGGCTAGGCTCACTTATTAGACTGTTGATGAATGTAAAATGATAAAAACAGAATTTCACTTTTGGACATAAAATCTGAATATTCCATCAAAACCAATAATGAAAGCCAGCCTCTTTTTTCAATTTGCAGTTCGTGCATACCATCAACTCTTTGAGTGGCAAACACTGATAATGATGAGAATAGCTTCTCTCACCTAGTTTACCAATACTATGCAATGTGTTTCCATCCTTCACATGCTTAATATCTGACTGCATCTGTAATTAATACAACACATCAAATGCAGGTCATTTTCATATTGTTTACACATAGAGAGTACAGGATTGAATCAACCTCTACTTCAATGTATTCTTATGATAACATTATTAATATGCACCATAATCATGAATAAAATCCAATTTTTTCTTGAATATTATTACAGCAAGTCTCCTGAAGTATTGGGGCAGCCAATTTGCAGTCTCGCTAGCGAATTGGCCAATTGCTTGACTAAACATGCTTTTGAAATCCCGTTGGTGCCAACCTGTGGCCACACCTACTCTGGATGAAGTATATTACAGTATGGGAAATACAATGATTTTATGTAGTTGAATATAAATAAACGATTTTGTAAAACATTTTTACTACCTCGTCTATGTTTTTTTTCCAAATTATTTGAATGTAAGATTGAAAGTAAATGTGGTCGCAACTGTATTTTATGGAATATATTGTCCTCCACCCCATCCTGTAAATGGTAAAACCTCTAACAAATGTACTCGTCTATTTGGAAGCAAGTGTACTGCAATTCAGTAGATTATTTACAGGTGAAGTGAGATCTTGTACAGAGGATGGGCGGCTCAACAAGGTTACACCAAAAAACAACTATATTATAACGAATTGATGGTTTTTTTCACCAAGTTAAACAGCCTTCTTTTCAGCTCCTTTATGAAATGCAAAAAGTTACGGTCCACACACTTTCAAGAGCCAATCAGCGACGGGGGAAAGTGTCCGATGTTCTTTGTGTATTGAGGTATTTGTTCGTAAGGCTTTCCCATGCAAAAAAGAAGAATGTGGTCAAATTGTATTACTGATTGGCATAACCGCATAATGTTACCCCAAGTTTTTTATTTTTCTCCTGACTTGTAGGAAACTGAAAAACCTGTTTTTTCAAATCGTCTCTGTATATAGTTTCAAGCCATATTCAAGATAGCTAGCTGTCTGCATATAATAAATATTGCATTTATAATATTCTTATCACTTGTACACAAGTTGACTGTGGTTCTGACCAGGGAAAGGCATAGATTTTTCGTAGTCTTACGATAATAGACTGCATCTATTTTACTCAGCTACAGGTAAGTTTTCTAATATCGACAGACTCAAGAACTATAAAATATCTGCTACATGGAGGACATAACTAGCTGCAATTCTGTAGTCCTTTGTTATACTGTAGTTCGTTTTTTTTAGCATCAGTGGAAACTCTGTGGTTTCAGGCATTTTGTATGTGTTGTCATAAATTTTAATAACTTTTTGACCTATTTTGTAGAATTCTTCTGAGGAAATGTGACAAATTTTGTGTGTGACCCATCAACTGGGTTTAAAAACAGTAATTAGTTTCAGCTAGTTCTGTAATCATCACCCCCTCACCGTTCGACAAACCCAACAGATATTTAGTTATTTACTTTTTCTATAATTTTTGACTTTGTATTGAGCTTTATGTTATTAATTTATTATATTTCATGCAAGGCAAAAAACCCTTAGTGTGTGGATAAATTATATACAAATATGATTTAAAGGGAATATGAAAATTATACTATTAATTCATTATGTGGAGAAATCAATGTTCAAATAATCAAGGTTAAATTAAACAAAAAAAAAACTGAAAGTGATCATTGCAAAATATGAGTATTATTTCAAAAAAAAGAGAGTAAGTTTTCCTTAGGACCGCCTCACCCATAACTCTAATCCTACCTTTCCAGCAGCTATCCTTTTTAAATTGTATATGCCCCTCAGGACATGTGATCTAGAGGGGAATATATAATTACATTGGAGGAGGGGGCTGAGGTGTTAGGGTTCAGATTATGGGTGGAGAGACCTTAAAGAACTCTACTTTTTAGTTCAAAATAGTGTTGCAGAATTCGATGAAATGACAGAAGACACTTGAAGTAAATGTCATAATAAATGAAAACGAACAATAATGTGAATGTCAGACCGTGTATTCCTGACCTGGTATCTAAACGATTGGTACCCTAAAGGTCACCACAAACTACAAGCT